TCCCATGATTTAATATTTGATTGCGGACATGGCAAACGTTGTGTTATTGTACGGTAGGCGTGCGTGGTATTTTGCAAGTCCACTTGAAAGCAAGGTCTCCTGAAGAGTTTTCTAAGCTGTACTGAGTTGTTTGTTCGATCCGCATTATCGCTGCAAAATGAAAAGGTGATTTCCTTGAATGTGGGATTTGCCATTCTTCCATGTAGAAGTGTACTGAAGCACACATGCTCACGTAGTCTGCAGGCATGTAACATGCTCCTTTGCTACCTCTTTTAGCCAAGGATAGATTGCTCAGCCTTGCTGACATGAGCAGTCATCTCTGTTTCAGTGAGACCACAGGCTACAGGATTAGGGTTTCTGGTAGCCCGTTAAGCCCCAGATGAGCTCTGGCATTATTCTGACAGTGTCTAATTCTCCATTGCCTTGCTTTTTATGTAGCGCTCTTTTGCAAAGCGAGTGTAAAACGCAACAGTTATGATTTGCTGGCATTTTGCACTGGGGAAATTTGAATGCAAAAGGACCATGCAAGGTGCAGCACAATGGAGATTCAAGCCTGGGATCTCTATGCAAAAAACCCCCCTTAATTGTGTTCCACCAATATTGAATAAAAAACCCAAAAAGGTGCAGGGATTGCAGCTAGTTATGTACTCCACCAGCTCTTTGCACTCACCCAGAGGTGTCTCGTACTTAATCTGGCCCCTGAGAGAGCAATACATGGAAATCCCTCACATTAAACATGAAGTTTAATATTATTTTAAATTTTCATTTGTTTCAGCTTTGCAGCTTCATTTGATTAAAAGGGAATGAAGGTTGTTTTGTCAATCAGGTTTGTTAACTAAAAAATGTATTTAGATCCCCCCCCCCCTTTCCACTAATTATATAAGCTGTAATATATTCAAGAGCAAATAAACAGAATGGCACATCTGTGTCTAGATGTGGTGCCAGCCTGGAGCTTTCCTGAACACAAACATCCAAAGGAGAGGTTTTCAAACAGATTTTATCATTCCTTTAAAACAAGTAAGGCTGATTGCAAGATTTCTATTAAAGAAACTATCTGCTGTATACTTGGATGTAAGATAGAATTGCACTTCTTTTTCCTGCAACACGATTGTGCTGTAAATTAGATATATTTTTCCCAGTGGAGATTTTAACAAAGTCCAGCTGGTAACTTCATTAGATAGGAGGCACAACAACATATTTAAGAGGATAAGAAAGCAGATCTCCTTATGATTAGCTTATGTCAAAGATCAGCCAAATGGCTTTTAGATATGTCACAGCCTTTATTACCTTAAGTATCTAAAGAACAGTGCAGGCTGAGCAAATGCATACTTGTGTTTTGTGGGAAGCTTGCACAGTCAAGGAAACATTAAAAAAAAAAAAAGTAACTTCAGTTTTAGTATTGCATGTATTTAGTCTCACCTCCCAGATGGAAGCCTCTGATGTAGTGTTAATCACACGCATATAGTAAAGGAATGTCGAATAAGCTTAGCAACATAAATCTTTGCTGGTTCATAAATTTAACCCAGCTGCATCCTCAAAATTGTCCTACTGCACTGGCCCAGCCTTGATTAAAACCTGACTTGGGTTTAGGGCTGCTAAAAAAATCTTGTTTTTGTTGGGGGGGTTTTTTGTTAAATAACTCGGAAAACAAAAAGAGTAAGCAGTATTAAATGCCATACAAAAGTGTTTATTGGAGTGGGACACAGAATTCGGTTCGTCTGCATAAAAGAGGCATTCCAGTATAATAATACCTTACTTCTGATGCATTAGTAATTTCCAGGTGCCTCGCACAGGGAGAACTGCACTGCACATATGGAAAACAAATGCAGAGAGCTGGTGGGACTTGCCTGACATTACTCAGCAGGCCAGTGACAGCTGAGAATAAATGTCAGGTCTCTTCTGTCCCAGTCCCGTGTTCCGTTCTGTAGACTACTTTGACTCATGCTGCGAGAGTACCCCTGGTTTTGCTGAACTAGGGCTCTGTTACCGCGAGCAGTCGAAACCAGGTAAGTTAGCTTCTGCTGCATTGCGAAGTTCCACGTACAAATCTTCCCCTCTCCGGCCCTTTCAGTAGTGGGGCTCTAAATGGGCAAGGGTGTCCTGGGTCCTGACACCTGCCAGCGAGAGTGTCCTATCAGCAGAGGAAAGACTCACACAAGTTCAAAAGTGGTCAAGAAAGCAAGCACCAATGCGGAGGACCAGGGAGGTAGAAACTCTCCTAGTCT